AAGAAGAGAACAAGGGGCAGGAAAAGAAAGAAGAAGAGAAAAAAGAGGCAAAGGAGGAAGAAGAGATTACAGAGATTGGCCAGGTTGACTTGCTTTTTTCTGGATGTTGATTTACAGACCTGTGTTTTTTTTTCCCCCCTCCCCCCCTAATCTTCTGGTATGGTACTGAAGGAGAACAAAGAAAAGAGCAAGGGGCAGGAAAAGAGAGAAGAGATAGAAGAGGAGGAGGAAGAAGATCGTCAAGGTTGGGCGGCTTGGGCCTTTATTATAGCCGAAACCCTCGCAGGGTTTTTTTTTCATGGTACATACCCTCGCAGGATTTGAAGTTATAATCATCTTCCTCTACATTAATTAGCTTATACAAATATTTAATTTTTTAAGCAAAGTAGTACTAGTTGTTACTGCATAAATTTGAATCTTAATTTCAATTTTATAATTATCGTTTTGGAGTTAATATGTACTAGATTAACTTAGCTAAAGAAATTAATTAACAAGAAGGTGTATGGTTGAGAGGAAATTAGTTGGATTGCTAAATCTGTAAGTTAATTGTTATGTTGATAATTTATAATTTAACAGGAGCAGCCACAAATACGAAGGCCCGTAGGGAGGTGTTATTTGACCCTATACAGTTATGTAGGGTGTTACGGAAGCGAGTGGGTTTTACTGAACTGGTTTCTCCGTGGCCAGAACCACCAGAGGAGAAGAAGGAAGAAAACGAAGAACGGAGAGGAGAGAAAAACGAAGAGGTAAGATTTCAAACTTAAGACACCTCATACCATGGTGGATTTACACACTGGGAATAAATTAGTCAATTAGAAAGGTAATACCCAAACCAAAATAAAACATTAATTTCGACCGGCTGACACATGCATCAACCGATCACGTCTTCATTTGGTTCTCCAGAGAGAGCCGTTGGGCTCTTTCGTTTATTACTAGTTATTAGATAATACCTGTGCCTTCCCACGGAATGTTACTATAAAGTAGTTTAGATTTTTAATTTTTATAAATATCTTCTATCGACAATATAAACACAACATTATTTCGTTTTATAAGGCATCATAAATGACCCCGAGTCCAGAATTTTTGTGATTTTCTAACTATTCTATGCATAAAAATAAGAACAAAGAAATTGCAATTACATGATCGATGGTATATGATTTTGATGAAATCTAAAAATTCTTTAGGATGAAAAAAAAAGGGCTACTTCTTAAAAATAATTAGAATGATGACAGCCACCCATATTTTCTTCGGTGTCCTGAATCTGCTTCATTTTCTTTGCCTCTTTCCATTTC